TTAATTAACAATCCCCAAACGTGTAAAGCTTTCTGTTCTATTAAAGAACAAATTTAACATCTGGCATCGAGGAAAAACTGAAATACCGAGAGCAGCTTGCGTCAGGCCGTCTGCAAGGACCATGTACGTTCCGCCAGGGCATATAGTCACAGCCATGGAGCTACTTTTTGGAATACAATACCCAGAATCCCCTCTCTCCCCCCCCCAACTGCCAGAGTGAGGAGTTCATCCTGCAACAACTCTACCCCAGGGAGAGGGAGGAGAAACCGGAGATCAGAAAAGTTGCTCTCTTTTTTGGGAGGTGGTGGTGATTACAAGTCCCAGAAACCCCACTGCCTTGGAAATGATGGGAGCTGTAGTCTATGAAGGCAACGATTCCAAGTTCGAGGAAGGGGGTAAAGGGGGGCGCATCCTCTGAGATATTTTAAGGCAGCTGCTGGAACAGCCCATATGGGGATGATGGGAGCTTTTGTCTCCTGGGCCCTCAGAAAAGGAGCCTTTCTCACCATGAAATGGGCAGCTCAGCCTATCCTCGGCCTTTCTCTTCAAGTGCGATCCTTCACGCCGTGGAAAGCCAACAGGGTAATTTGGAGAAGCTTCTCTTTGGCCACTCACCAGTCCCAGTGGGCAAATGGACACCCGAAAATCTTCCTGCAGACTCGCTGCCAGCAGGAAGGGGCTGCAAGATATGCTGTTTGCCTTCTGCAGGCGTAACTACCCAACAGGATTTGGGCTTTTAACGTACCAGATACTCATATACCCTGCAAAACCATGAGATTCAGCGAGTGACGCCAGACCAGTTACTGCTTCTCGGTGTGGCCTTCCTCGTGGGGAGGGGGCTTTTATGATGCTAGTGGTGAGGAAAACAGATGCCTTGAGGTCAACGAGAGGAAACCTAATGAATAAATACGATTTACGGGAACTGCCGTGCGCCTAGATGTCTTTAATGAAGGCACAGAGAGACCTGACAGAGACAGAATTCAAAGAAGCCTGCATTATAGCTGCTGATGCATCAGCCAGTAAAAAAAAGAAATATTCAAATGCCACGGAGGTGGGAAGAGACCACCATGCGAAAGACGCTTCCCTTGGCTAAAACAGAAAGAAGCAGAACATTCACTTAATCGCTGGGCCTATGAGAGGAGCTAACGTGTTTAGAAACAAGCATCCTCTCCCACAGAGAAAGGACTGGTTCCACATCATCTGGGCAAATATTTAACTTTACAAACACGTCTGCAAATAACAATCGCCATATTCTTTCCATTAAACATTTGCTGTTCTTTAACCAGGGGAACTCCCAATGATTAAACATTAACTCCATGTTTCACCCTGCCCTCGGACCGCTCGGGGCCGAGAATAATAAACATTTACCTAGGGATCCATTTCTAAATTTATTGAAAAGGCACAGAGCACCTGCTCCTTGGTGTGTGTGTGTTTTTAATTGAGCAAACTTCGGCTGGGATGTGAAAAGGAGATGCAGGGCAGTAAAAGCCTGGATCTAGGCTGGCACCCCATAAAAGAAACCGTAGGCTCTAATTGACTGATTAAGCGACTGGAATACATCCATTTGGTGCTAATAAAAATGTCAGAATGTTTGGTTACAGCCCGGTCACAGTTGAGAAACTCCGAGTTTGCCACTCACAGGAGCAGGGAGAAAATGATCGGCTTGAAATGTCGTGCTGGAGAAAAGCTTTGTAGAGAATCCTGGACTATCAGAACGATGAAAAGGTGGGTTTTAGTTATATAAAGCTTGATTTGAGGCAAAAATGATAAAACGTGGAGCCTAAACTGGTAAAACCGAGGCTGTTTTACTTTGGGCACATCATGAGAAGGCGGGATTCTGTAGAAAAGACAATCACACTGGGAAAGGTAATAGAAGGCAGCAGGAAAAGAGGAAGAAAAAAAATACATGATGGGCTAACTCCCTAAAGGAAGCCACCGGCTTCAGTTTACAAGAGGGGATTAGGGCAGTAGAGGACAGGATAATTTGGAGATTGCTCATTCATGGGAATCACAAAAAGTCGGAGGCAACTTGATGACACATAAATACAACATGTTTGTAGTGGGAAATTGAGTGTGAATTCAACTCTATCCGCTTTGTAGCTCCCATGTAATGTCAGTGCCTTATTTCCTCAAACACCATAATAGGTAAAAGAAACAGGTTACATTTCAAAATTAACTTACCCAGCTCTGGACCCTTCACAACATTAACCCATGCCTTCCTGGGTTGGAGACATGGGCTCCTTTATCATCCATGGACAGGATCCCACCAGTTCCCCCATCATTAAACCCTGACAGGAGCTTTCAGACATGCTAAAGAACCTTCAGAGACACTGGGCCTGATGCAGAACATCAGGTTTTGTGTGTCTCCCTAAAGCACGGCTTGCCAAACTTGAGTCCTCCAGAGGTTCTTGGACTACAACTCCCAGAAATCCTGGCCAGGACAGCTCACGGTGAAGGCTTCTGGGAGTTTTAGTCCGGGAACATCTGGGGACCCAAGGTTGGGAACCACTAGCCCGCAGGCCTCAAATGGCTTCATCTCATTATTAAGTCAACCTTGCCCAAGGTCCAAGAGGAACTGTCCGTGGTGCTGATTTCTGGTCATAATAACCCAACTTTTGCCCAACTAGACCGGACGCTACCAAAACTCAACGCCCTGCAAAACAGGAAATAAGATGGTGGGGTTGTCTGTTCACTCAAAATGAAACAGCTTCTATTTCCTTTACAACTGGCTGGATAGCTCTGTGAGTTAGGTCTCTGGCTTCATAGCCAGAGGTTGTGAGTTCGATTCCCCCCAGGGAGAAGAGCCAGCCTGGGTGGCCTTGGGCAAGCTGCATAGCCCAAGAGTGGCCTCAGAGGAAGGGGAGGGTCAATCAGTTTTGACTGTGCCTAGAAAATCCCGGAAAAGGAACAATTTTCTAGCACTTAAGAGGCATTTAATTTTGGGGTGCTTTTTGAGCCTAGAGTGTCTAAACCTCCAGAGACCCAACCCATCCCCGAACATTTAGGAATGGGATGTTCAGATTTCTTGGACTACAAACCCACAAGAGTCTCTGATCTGGGAGGTCTACATGGCAGACACCTCAGAGTAGTGGTTCTCAAACTGGGGTCCCCAGATATGGTTGGACTACAACTCCCAGAAGCCTTCACCGCTTACTGTGCTGGCCACGCTTTCTGGGAGTTGTAGTCCAAGAACACCCAGGGACCCAAATTGGGAACCACCAGTTTAGAGACAGTCAAATGTGGCTCACCTGGAAGACAGGCCTAAACTTGAACCCTCTGAGGCCTAGCTCGGCCTAGCTCCGCCCAAGCTTCCTGTTCCTGCCCTGGGAGTTTTCTTTCAGAACAGGAAGCTTGGGCGGAGCTAGGCCAAGCTAGGCCTCAGAGGGTTCAGGTTGAGGCCTGTCTCCCAGGTGAGCCACACTGAGGTGTCTGTAAAGTGTCTGTCTACCAGGTAGAACTCCCAGAGTGGAGAATTATGGGATTTGTAGTCCAAGAACCCCAAAAATCACATCCAGAGAAGTATATCAGCCTTTTGGGATTCGTAGTGCGTGTTTGTAGGGTGTCGTAAGGAATAGGGCGAGGCCCTTTGATGAAGCCGAAAAGGGGCAGATGGCATTCCTACGATGGCTCTATTCAGCCCTTCCACTTGAGGTTCCTCACAGCGGCGGGAGTGGAAGCCGGAACGTCCCCCGCCGCGTTCGGAAGCTAAAAACAGATTCCCTCAGAGATGAGCTGCTTGTTCCGCCACCCACAGATTAGTAAGCGATGCTTCCCTCACAGGGTACGACCCCATCAACGAATGTATGGAATGGCTTGCTGTCTCCCCCACACGCATCGCACAAAAGTAACACCAGCCATTCATGGGGCCGCATCTCTAAGGAAACCGCTGAGAGATGTTAAGTGGCTTCGCATCCCACCCCCGTTTCAAGAAAGTCTTGTGCAATTAGAATATATACCAGCTTTGGGGGGGGGGGAACACACACTGCGAGGTGTAGGGTGATGGGAGAATGACTTTAAGTGGGACTCCGGTCCTGACATGCAGTGGCTTGGGTGCAATGTTGTCACCGCTATTGCTGGATAAGCATTCACTGGAACAGTCCAGCATTATGGGGGCTCATCATCTTCCCTCATGTGAAAGATCGAGTGCTTGGGCTCTCCATAATTGCATCTAACACTACTGCTCAGTTCTCACATCTTATGTCACTGCCTACTGGAAATCTCAACAGTCTTATCAGATAAAATAAAATCCCCCCTCTCCAAAAGCTAGCATCTTTTACTGCTGCATCTTACCTTTCTCTAGTAGAAGGTAATAATAAATAATGGCGTGCCGTCCAATCAATTCGGACTCGTGGTGACTCTTTCCGTGGTTTTTGAGTAAGAGACGTGGTGTCCCATTCCCTTTTTATGGGGATCTCTTGGGTCTGTGCAGCGTGCCCAAGGCTCCACAGGCTGGCTCCACTCGCAGGAGACAAAGTGGGGAATTGAACTCCCAACATCTGGCTCCACTGAGCTCTCCAGCCAGTTCAAAAGTGGTTTACACCCTTCCCTCTCTCTGCAGGCACTTTGCATCCGCACAGCTTGCCCAAGGCTACCAGGCTGGCTCCACTCTCAGAAGACAAAGTGGGGAATTGAACTCCCAACATCTGGTTCCAATGAGCTATCCAGCCAGTTCAAAAGTAGTTTACACCCTTCCCTCTCTCTGTAGGCACTTTGTGTCCGCACAGCTTGCCCAAGGCTACCCAGGCTGGCTCTAACTCACAGGAGGCATGGTTGAGAACTGAACTCGCAACCTTTCGCTCCACAGCTGGATACCTAAACCACCGAGCTATCCACCTAGTTCCCCTATGGCAAAGCATACTGGAAAACATGGAATGAGCTAAGACAGCCATTATGATGGTCTTCCAAATGAAGTTGGCAGAACTGCAAACACAAATGAAACAAAAGGTGTACAGTAGCCTTTTTGGGGGAGGGTTACCTCCGGGAAAATGCACAGAACTCACCCTGTAGACCGACATCTGATTGGTCGTCAGCGTGCCGGTCTTATCGGAGCAAATAACGGAGGTGCACCCTAGCGTCTCCACCGACGGGAGGCTTCTCACGATGGCGTTCTTCTTGGCCATCCGGCGAGTCCCCAGGGCGAGGCACGTGGTGATGACCGCCGGGAGCCCCTCGGGGATGGCGGCCACTGCCAAAGCCACTGCAATCTTGAAGTAATAGATGGCGCCGCGGAACCACGACCCTCCGTGCACCGGGTCACTAAAATGGCTGATGTTGATGACCCAGACGGCCACGCACACGAGGGAGATCACTTTCGAGAGCTGCTGGCTGAATTCGTCCAGTTTTTGCTGCAAGGGGGTTTTCTCGGGTTCGGTGGCCACCATCTGGTTCCGGATCTTCCCGATCTCCGTGTACACCCCCGTGGCTATGACCACGCCCACGGCTTTGCCAGCAGCAATGTTGGTCCCCTAAAATGGAAATACACAGAAGTCAAAGAACGCGGAGAATTCTAACAGCCTCCGCAAATGTCAAACTTTTCTTTCTCCTGAGGTGCGCGGCAAAAAAAAGATCCGGGCCTTATCTCTCGTTGCTTTTTTGCTGTATCGGTTATTGGATTTTTAAAATTTCACTCACTTTGACACCGTGAGCTGCCTTGAGCCCTTTCATGGGGAGAAAGGCGGATGGCAAATCACGAGGGCTTGATTACAAATGACACTAAGCAAACAAACAAATAAATAAATAAACCTTGACAATGTGCATCATGTGGGAGCCATACAGGCCAGTTTGGAGAAATCAAGTGCCCAACCGACAAAGCAGGGAATGAGGTAAATGCAGAAAGACACGTTACCAAGAAAACATGTACGGGAGATGTGCCTGTTTTTTCAAAAACATATTTAACGAATTCAGCTCTAAAGATGTGTTTCCTGGTTCGCCGCCCAAACGCAGCCGCAAACCATGACAAGCTATTTAAAGCGAGCAAAACGAGAGAGGAGCCACACGGCTACAAAAAAAATGGCCACTGAGGCCGGGCTGCAAACTGGGGGGGGGGGCATACTTGGTGGCCCCTTCTGCTTGGGAATATGAAGAGGAATAACGTTTCTCAAAACCTTCCTATGAAAACTGGGGAGGAAAAAACCCACAATTACAATTCATAACACAACCAAAGAGACAAATCCTCACGCATCAAGGACAAATTCAATCCTAATTTACACCTCATGGAGCTGGTTTTCTCTCTGAGGGGAGAGTTCAATGCGAAGGAGCCTTCAAACATGACATGCCCCATGTATATATTAAAATACCTGTAATCCAATCTAGTCTCCATTTCGGATTTCCTCAGGGCCATTTTTACATTGCTGAGGTCCCACTTGGAAAGGCGGACAGAGAATCGGGACTCAAGAGACCCGGGTTCAAGTTCTCACAAGCTAGAGACGCTCCTTGAAAAGCCGCTCTTTAAATATCACATATTCCTTTAAAGCCTTATTAGTTTCGTCCTAAGTCCGAAGCAAGTTGATGGAACGTCACAAGGACACAAGGAATCATCGGATGGGACGATAGATCAGGCAGAATTTCAGGATGGGGATACTTACTGAAAAAAGCATGTTCTTTTTATCCTGGTTGACAGCCCTGGGGTCCGGAATAGGATCCGTGTGCTTAATGACAGAGACCGATTCGCCTACAAGGGAAAAGGACGTGCAGCCGTTATTTGAGGATTTTAGTACCATCTCGGTCTGGAGAACTGGAACGCTCACATCGTTTTATTAAAAAAAGATAAATTTTAGGAGTTCTGTTCTGGGTACAGCCAAACGGGTCCATTTCATTTTCTAAGGCAAATCTGCCCGGTTTCATGGTCCAGGTCTTTCAATCAAATTTATAAAAGGCCTAGACATGGAGAAAAAAAGGGAGGGGGAAAGGCATTGCCCCCACCCCCCAAAAGAACTAATCTCTATCCATGACACAGAGGGCACCGGCATCTAAGGGATAAAACAGTGAAAACCCCAAAGTCGGAAATTCTGTCTTTCTTATGCTACCCTCCAGGCTCTGATAACACAATCAATCCTATTGATTCACTTGGCGCCTTACATTCAGCTGGATGGCTTGGAAAAACGTGCTGAGAACATTAGATGCTGCTAGCTGTGATGTTCGCAGGCCAGCGACTCCACTCCAGCGTTCACCTCTACACTTTCACGGGAGCTGTCCAGGTGCTGAACCCGACCTCCAAAACAGGGCCAGCACCTTCAACAGCTTCTTTAATGTTTGGACTAAAATCCGGAGCGGAAATCAGCCCCCTACTGACTTCAGAGCCACTCGCTTTCCCTGGCTAGGGAAAAAGGGAAGTGACCAAGGCAACTTTAATACCGTAAGAGGGTCCTCAGCTGCCCACCTTTCCAAGATGAAGAGCCAGGCTTACGGGTAACTACAGCTTGGTATGCACTTCCAAAGCATTGTTAATTGCCTTGGTCAATGACGGAGGTCAACGGCTAACAGAAAAGTGTTTGGTTTCGTTTTGTTTTTTTTAATTTGTGGAGCTTATGTTCTTCAAATGACCTTGTTCTTCATATTCTGAAATGGTGTTCTGTTTTGGCTCACTTAGGGCCCAGCCTTCATTCAGGAAAGCTGTCTTTTGCCTGGCACAGATGCCAGTGGGTGCCACGTGTATCTCCTTTATGCCTTGTCTGTCTTGAGAAAGCAAGCAAAACTTTGTTCCAACAGAGAAGCACAGAGCTTGCCCTTTCCCCACTTTTCAATGCAACGCTATGCCACTCAACCAGTTTTATCCCCCCACCAAGAAACTCAGGCGCAAAAGCAGTCCGAGATCATCCTGAAGCATTCCTGCCAGTGGAAATCCGACGGTGAAGGAATATTTTTCCAATCATTTATCATCTTGCAAATCTAGTACAATATCTGCAGGGATGGGTTCCAAGCCCCCTCCCTTGGATGCTGAAAACTGCAGATAATAGTGAACGCTTTGCATAGCCTGGTAAAAGAACTCTCCCCCCCCAAAAAAAGCATTTTCACATACAATACCAGAATGAGCCATTAGAGGGAGCCAGAAACCAAGCTATGTCTTCTTCAAGAACAAGAATACATCACATGGGCTTTTTTGGTAAATACATCGTGAAAATGCATATTTCTCGTTGTTGTTTTCAAATAATATGTTCAGACTGCGGATAAGTAAAACCGTGGATATGGGAGTCCTACTGTATAAGAAACTTCCAACTACCCTGTTAATTTACTATCAATGCCAAGTCACAGGCATGGAGGCTTTGAGTGAAGCATAGAGCTGCTTCTCCCCTTGTTGAATCCACTCTAGCAGCTCCTGATCTAAGTCGCAAATCATCCTCTCCTCTCCTTACCGGTGAGAATGGACTGGTCTACTCTTAAAGTCGTGGACTTAATCTCAATGATCCGGATGTCGGCAGGAACTTTGTCACCAACTGCAAGACAGAAGAGACCACAAAGGTGGCTTGTGAGCGATCAGGAATTATATCTGAAATCCACGGTGGGCAGAAGAGAGGGAGTTAAACCACCACAAGATTTGGCCTCTCTGTTCTGCTGCTTTACAGCTCTGCTTCCCTGCAGTCTACCCCTCTCTTGTATTCTGCTGTAATGGAGCGCTCTTCCACCACTGTTTTAAATTCTCCGTCCAGCACTGATCATAATGGAAATTCCTCTTCATCCAGATGATGTTTTTCTGTATCTGGCACAGTACTGTTTTTTTTTATGTGCTCCTAAACACGTTTGATCTTCCTCAAACCTGGGGTTTATCTTTTGCTTCACTTTGCGCTGAAGTACTTTAGCGCTATAGCACTCTAAGCACCTACCAGTCACAAGCTTTTAATTCCAGGGTCAGAAGCTCTGTTTTCTTCTAATGCAGAAAGTTTAATGATGTTAGCATAGGACTGAAGGGTGCTTCAGGGATGCAGACATCCCTGGAGGGAAGCTTACTGGTTTGCAAATTAGCGCTATGTACAATCTGGTAGACAACAGCTGCACTATACCCCATATACTTTGGACACCAAGTGACAGAAAGGAGAGGAACGAGGCAGTACAAATGCCCCATCGGGAAGAGCCCTAAAGGCTCAGTTTAGTTGGAGTGCTAACCAGAAAATCAGGGTTCAAGTCTCAAATGAGTGAACTCACTGGGTGTCCTGGAGTGAACCCCTCTTTCTTGGTGTGACCCACCTTACAGGACTGTTGTGAAGAAAAAATAGTGAGAAGAAGAGCACATAACTTTGAGCTTGTTGGAAGACAAAAACCATAAACATACAGGTACTCAGAAAATAAAATAAAATATTAACATGCAGGTCTGTGTGGACTGTGCATTCACTTAAACCTAACCCTGAGAGGGACTGTTGGGCTGTTGTGAAGAAAAAATAGTGAGAAGAAGTGGACTGTGCATTCACTTAAACCACAGGGGTCCTGAGAGGGACTGTTGGAATTTTTTACAACCTCGCATGCTGCTTCTAGGAGTTGAGGGAGTGGGAGGGACTTTTCTGGGCTGGGGTGACTGTCAATCACTAACAGCACTAACCAATCGTTCCTTCTATGCCTCTGAATTCCAAAAGAGCCCCGGCTCTCCGCTCTGTGGCTTTTCCCCTCTCTTGACTTTCTTGAAGCTAATTCCGCCCTTTGAAATGCCTGCCCTTCTGCTGCACAGCTAGAGGGACTGCACTAAAATTCAAAGCTCTGCAACACTCACTACGTAGGAAAGAAGGATCAATCCTTCCTTCTCCCGCTGCCCTCTTAGTGGAAAAAAAAAATTCCCTCCTCCTTAGAGTTAAATAGCATTTTGGAATGAATGGAATCCAGTTAACAATCACTCTTTGGCATAAGCGGATTATTCTTGGAGAAAGGCATAAGCTGCCGTCAGCAGCAGAGCACAGTTGAGATACATGGTGTCAGAACGCTAGGATTTATTTTTTTATTATCTTTTGCTAACAAGGATGGTGGTGCCTCTGCTCCCCTTTTGGCTTCCTTGCTACTTCTAAAGAAGGATGGGACCATCTACTTTTCCAGACTACAAATCCCATAATCCCCCTTTCTGGGAGGTCTACCTCCCTCACAGATACTTAACACCTGGATACAACAGCCCTGAGCAAAAAAAAAAGGCTAAACTAGAAGGCTCTGAAGCCTAGCTAGGCCTCGCTCTGCCTAGCTTCCTGTTTAGAAAGAAATTTCCCAACTTACCCTGGGGCAGGAACAGGAAGTTTGAGCAGAGCTAGGCCTAGCTAAGCCTCAAATCTTTGCAATTAAGGCCTTTCTTCTAGGTGCACCACATTCAGGGGGCTGTCAGGGGGATTCAACGAGGATGGAGATTTATATTTGTAGTCCCGAAAAACCTGAAAATCCTTACTTCTAAGCTGAGCAGCAATCATCAGCCATGGTTGCGGAGATGTTTCTTCCAAAGCAAGAAAATATTATTGTCGACAATCTCGGTTGGAATATAGAGGATCTTGGATCTGGCTTGACCTTAAATGGAGAAATAACACAACGAGAACTCACCCGCTACCTCTACAATATCTCCTGGGACGATGTCTCGTGCACGGATCCGTTGGACCCCGCTCCTGTCCGCCCGGATCACCTTCCCCATTTCCGGTTCATATTCCTTTAGAGCTTCGATGGCACTTTCTGCGTTCCTCTCCTATAAAAAAAAAAAAGGAGCCCCATATCAATCTTTGCTAATTTCCTCCTTACAAGCAAAACCCAAAAAAGATTTGCTTCCTTCTAGGTGACGCTGAGGGTGTCTGATGTGCTCTTTGCAAATTCATGGCATTTTGGAGAAAAAATTCACAGACCGGGTGTTTGCACGCACACAAATTCTGCCAACAGAAAACCTCTACGTTTTTTGTAAAAATGCCTGATTTTAATGCAAAGCAGCTTGTTTTACACAAAACGTCTCTCTTTTTTGGGGGGGAGCTCGTTTTGCTGAAAAAAGTCCCGTAGGAGAAAAAGAATCTCTTAGTGGTTGGTACGTTGCCTCTTAGAATGAGGAGATGTATTCATTATATCTTTAATAACATCAGCTCTCCTTCTTCCTATCTCTAGATGAATCATACTCAGCTCCTTCATCTGTTCCTCATAGGACTTGGTTCTAAGGCCCCCCCCCCCCCCCCCGGTTAGGTAAAGGTAAAGGTTCCCCTTGACATTTAGTTCAGTCGTGTCCGACTCTAGGGCACGGTGCTCATCCCCGTTTCCAAGCCATAGAGCCAGCATTTGTCTGAAGACAGTTTCCGTGGTCACGTGGCCAGCGCAACTAGACACGGAACACCACCTGCCCACCGAGGTGGTACTTATTTAACAACTTGCATTTTTACATGCTTTCGAACAGCTAGGTTGGCAGGAGCTGGGACAAGTGACGGGAGCTCCCTCCATCGCATGGATTCGATTTTATGACTGCTGGTCTTCCGACCTTGCAGCACAGAGGCTTCTGAGGTTTAACCCACACTGCCACCACGTACCTTCCCTCTGTTAGATAACTAATAATTAGCCTCCCTACGCATTACACCCTAGATCTGCTATTTGAGACAACTCTCCCTTTTGCCTAATAGTAGGGCCGGCCCTGTGTTCATTTTTAGCTCCCTGGTGTGAATCCTCTCATACCTGCCAGACGCCCACGACTGCATTGGCAATAAGGATCATGATGATCACAACGGGCTCCACGAAAGCTGTTGTAGTTTCTTCACCTTCCTCAAACCAAGCCAGAATCTGCAAAAAAAACCACAGAGAGAGATAGATTAGACAGATGAAGAAATACAACCAGTCTCCCTAAATACTGCTAAGCCCTTGTTCGTAACAGATGAGAGAGAGAGAGAGAGAGAGAGATTAGACGGATGAAGAAATACAGCCAGTCTCCCTAAATACTGCTAAACTCTTATTCGTAACAGAACAAGAACTGGTGAATTATTTTTCTCCTCTCCTATGAGTGGACGAGATAGCTATCATCCATTTCAATCCATCTTTTCCTATTGCCGAGAATGGTTTTTATACAGATGTTGTGAATTCTGTAGCTAAACTACAATTGTCGCTGCCTCGTCGTGTGGACTTTTAAACATCAGAAGCACTGAATGGGTTGCTTGCATGTTTTTGATCAGCCCACTGGTCCTTTAGTGTTTGGTGCTGGGAGACTAAGGGGAATGTGCAGGACAACTGATCCGTGAGGATTCAGATGGAAAAGTCAGAATGAAAAAATGTGAAATAAAGCGGCGAAATAGGACTTGATTAATGGTGTGTGTGTGTGTGTGCACTTTGGGTCAAAAAAAGGCACAGAGAGAAATTTGCAGTGTGTGTGTGTGTGTGTGTGTAGTTTGGGTCAAAAAAAGGCACCAGATTTGCACAGAGAGAAATTTGTGCAAACTGCAGGTAATTTACTTGGGGGGAAAGGTCTTCCTGTCTCATTCTCATGCTGAAGCAAGACATCTCAAGGTGATTAACAGACTCTGGACCCTCCGTCTTGACCATTAAAATAAGCAGTCTTAGCAATCAAGCGTAATTTCATGAGATGGACCTGTGCCATTCCTATAAAAACAAGCCACCATCAACCATGTAGCAGTGCTTGAAAAAAAAGTTGCTTCTTTTTTGGGGGGATGGTAAAGGTTCCCCTTGACAATTTTTGTCCAGTCGTGTTCGACTCTAGGGGGTGGTGCTCATCCCCGTTTCCAAGCCATAGAGCCAGCGTTTTGTCCGAAGACAATCTTCCGTGGTCACATGACCAGTGCGACTTAGACACGGAACGCTGTTACCTTCCCACCGAGGTGGTCCCTATTGATCTACTCGCATTTGCATGCTTTCGAACCGCTAGGTTGGCGGGAGCTGGAACAAGCGACGGGAGCTCACTCCGTCACGTGGATTCGATCTTACGACTGCTTGGTCTTCTGACCCTGCAGCACAGGCTTCTGCGGTTTAGCCCACAGCGGCACCACGTGGCGGGGATAACAGCTCCTTAAATCCACCAGTGAACATGGCCACTAGTCATACTGGCAGGAGAACCGTAGGTGGGGGAAAAAAGAAACTTTTCACAAGTTTTTCTCTGGGCCAAACTGGTATGTATGAATACCATCAGAGAAAAAAAGTTGCTTCTTTTTTGGGGGGATGACAGCTCCTTAAATCCACCAGTGAACACGGCTACTAGTCATACTGGCGGGAGAACCATAGGCGGGGGAAAAAGAAACTTTTCACAAGTTTCTCTCTGGGCCAAAATGGTAGGAATACTGCCAGATCCATTATGGGGAAGCGCATGACCTCTGAAAGGGACAGGGTCAAAAAAAAAAAAAAAGGAGGACTCTAAAAGTTGCTGCAGAAATCATTACTTTTATTAGCTGGAAAAGATGTTCTCCTAAGAAGGGGTCAATTTCTTCGTGCTGTGATGGGTGGCTTTAATATACACACCAGAATATTGAAATGGAATTTAAAAAAATCAGACCAGCCACTGTACAGGGTAAAATTGTGATTGTTTCTAACCTACATAATTCTTATCTGCTAGGTCTACCTTGAAATGAATGAATGAATGAATGAATGAATGAATGAATGAATGAATGAATGAATGAATGAATGAATGAATGAATGAATGAATGAATGAATGAATGAATGAATGAATGAATGGACAGACGGATGGATCTGAGAAAGTGGCTGTTGTGTATTACATTGGATTGATTGGATTTTTAATACATTGGTTTTAGACAGACTGTCTAGGAGAGGTTTTAAAATGAGATGGTTTTTGCTTCTAAACCTGTTTTAGTCATGCTTTATCTAACAATTGTCTTTCAATATTTAACTTAGGGTGTTTTAATTGTGTGAATTTTAATGCTATGAACCACCTGTGGTCCCTTTGTTGAGAGAAATGCGGCATACAAATAATAATAAAACTAAGGATTCTCAATATAATGGTATTAGTTCATTTAATATTGGAATAATTCACTGTTTTTCGCTTTAGTGTTTTAATCATGCAAGCCGCCTTGGGTCGTTTCTGAGGGGTAAGGCGGGATCAAAATATTTCAAATAGATAAATGAATTATAAATTAATGGAAAGAAGGCAGATAGTTCCTTCTTGATGGACATAATCGCCTGTGTTTCCCCTAAAACCCTCCTGAACGGACATGAAGGGGATCTCAAAACTTTGAAAAAATCTGTTCATGTCGCTTTCTGCCTCAATGAAATGTTTAAAAGCGTACTTTCTTTTAATTAATTTTTATTCATTTATTTGATTTAAAATATACCCCACCTTTCCCCGTAAAAGGGATCCAAGGTGGCACAATATGAAAAAATTTAGAACGACCAAGAAAGATTTATGATTTATTTATTTATTTTTGCAAATTTTTTCAAAACTGGGAAGAGGCAGGGTGGATTTAAATCAAACTGAATTTAAATCACAGCCACTGTGGCCCTCGCAGGCTTGAGGACAATATAATTCACACATTCCTAGCCATTAGTTGTCGCTTTGAATTGCAGCTTATTGGGTTTGCGCGGCTTTTCGGCCATGAAGTTCATCTGTCACATTGGGCTTTCAGGTTGACAAAGCACACCTGTGGGAGACTAAACCACCACACCCATCATCCACCTGACCTCATGGGATAAGACAAATGGGGGGGGAAAGGCTGCCCGACTTCCTTCCGCAAGGTCTACAGGTATCTTAACAGGTCCCCCTCCCGTGTTGACCTTTCGGGAGGCCAAGCCTTAATTTCTCTCAGACTGAGCAAACAAACTAGCTCTTGTCTCAAAATTATCTCAGGCAATTAAGACAGGTTGTGGTTTACTCAGAAGTAGTTTTGGTGGGGCCGGACACCAACCACCTGCCAGGGTGGGTCCCTCGTGAACACCTTTCATGAGGCTGCCACATTCCAGCCTATGTCCAGATCTCCAAAGAATCATAGAATTATAGAATAATGCAGTTGGAAGGGCACTCTCTGGCCACTGAGTCCAACCCTCCTGCTCGAGGCAGAATACAAATCAAAGAATATCTGCCCAGTGGTTGTCTATATTTCTCTTGAATAAAGAATAGAGGGGAACTTGTACCTTGCAGGATTTGAAGACTATACTTCTTACATGAAGCCTTAAATAGCATTTGCCTTTTTTGCAACCACATCACAGTGTTGGCTCATACTCAGCCTGTGATCTACGACAATTCCAAGATCCTTCTCGCTCACAGTATTGCTGAGCGAGGTATCCCCTATCTTGTAACTGTTGTGGTCGGTTCCTTTTTCCGAGATGCCGTACTTTGCATTTATCCCTGCTGAGTTTCATTCTGTTGTTTTCAATCCTGGTGATCAAGCCCATGTAGATAATTTTGAATTTTGTTTCTGTCTTCGAAGGTATTAGCTATCCCATACAATTTTGCGTCATCCACAAATTTGATTAGCACCCCCTGATCCAGGTCATTAATAAAATGGATCCACGTCATTAATGAAAGGAAGATTTCAAAGTAGGTGCATGTAGGGTGCCCTATTTTATAGAAGGCAAACTTCTCTCTGAAGGACTGTCCTCTTTTTTGAAGGCAATCCTCTCTTTGAGTGCAATTATTATGGTTTATACCTGGAATGAGATCAGGGACCTTGATACTGCTCGAATGACAGATTCGGGTGCAGGCAAGGAAGTCACTCAAAATATTCCCCGCTCAGATGAGATATATTTTAATACTGCTTAAATTTATGAAGAAAAACACAAGTTCTAATTTTATACCTGCATGCCTAAAAGAGTAATAATTGGAATAAACTAATTAGGCTAATCTAGTAACTTTTAACTCAGCGAAGGGTAAATGCCATTAAGATGATCCTTTAAATGAACCGGATCCTAACTGATTTAATATTTATCAAGAGCTTGACCAGTTTTAATGTTTCTGTTCTCTCAAGGGAACACAAAGAGCTTGAATCACAGCCAGGAGAAGAAGGGAAGCTGAACGTGACAGCATCAGCCATAAGATTAACCTTCTACGCCCTGCCTTGAAAATCCATACAAGCAGCCCATAATGTCTGAAGGCTGAGCAAACCACCTACATTTTCCCGGGAACAGAGGGCTGGAGATACCAGGAAGAAGGAAAGGGAGCTGAGTTTGGCCACAGACCTTTGTTGGACAGGCTGTTCAATCCCACCTGGCCCCCATGGACGACAAAGGCCATCATCCCCAAGGAGAAAGGGAATGGTGGGACTTGTAGTCCAAGGTACTTTGGGAAGTGCCAGGTTGAAGGATGCCAACTTAAGTTTTAAAAAGCATCCGTTTGAAGGAGTAAGCAACAAAAATGCCTTTTGACCAGTGGCTCCCGACCTTGGCCCCCCCCAGATCTTCTTGGACTACAACTCCCAGAATCCTTCACCACTAAATGTGCTGGCCAAGATTTCTGGGAGTTGTAGCCCAAGAAGATCTGGGCACCTCGGACTGGGATCCACTGCTGTAGAGGAACAGCGTGGACTACAGTGATTTATGCTGTTTTCTCCCATTTTCTGTTAAAACTAATAATTTATCGGTATCCTACTCTGAGTACCGCGTGGAGAATGGACATTGAGGAAGTGACCCTGGGCATTCGGAGAAATTACTGTCCCATCACCCAACACGTGACCCATAGGAATACACCCCCCCCATAGTCTCAAAATGAATGCCAAAGGAGACACACTTACAAAAGAAACGAAGGCGGCCAGAAGGAGAATCCGTACGAGGAGGTCTTCGAACTGTTCTAATATCAGTTCTAGGAGCGATTTTCCTAGCAAAAGCAACAAACATTTCTTTTTAAAACCCTGGAATAAATCAAAGTGCCTCCACAAAACCAGGTCCAGAATGGGGAAGGCATCCTTTCCTGGACTACAGGTCCCCAAATCCTCCAGACAGCATGGGAGTTGTCACCCAAAAAAGGAGTTCCTCGAATCTTGGACCGACCCATCACCATCACCGTTCCAAGTGAACCCCTTCTCCCATCCCCCAAAATCAATGCTGTGTTAAAGATAAGGGCGGTGATATTATTCCCCAAAGACTACAACCCAGTGTGCATTTACTAGCGAGTAAGATGTTGAGGAATCGGCTGGATAGCTCAATGGTTTAAGTCTCTGGCTCCGCAGGCAAAGGTTGGGTGTTCGATTCCTCCACTGTGCATCTCCAGAGAGAAGAGCCAGCCTGGATAGCCTTGGGCAAGCTGCACAGTAATCCCAGGGGAACCCCCCCCCAGAAGAAGCGAATAATCAACCACTTCTGAGTATTAACAACCTGGAAAACCCTGGAAAGGGTTGCCAGATGTCAGAATTGTGTTGATGCCACATGATTTGTTGACAGGATAGGCCAGTGATTTAGGCCACTGAGCCAGAGGTTGGGGGTTCGATTCCCCACTGTGTCATCTCATACTAGAGCCAGCCTGGATAGCCTTGGGAAAGCTGCACAGTCCCGAGGATTCCCCCCCCCCAAGAAGAAGGGGATGGTCAACCACCTCTGAATATTCCCTGAGAAGGGTTGCCATAAGTCAGAATGGACTTGACGACACATCATAATCATCGTCACCAAGTCCCCCAGCCCTACATTCCCCCCTGTGTCACTCACAGACCCCTCAGTGCTTCTCCACCCAAAATAAGGACGATCAAACTAAATTAATAGCGTCCACCTACCTTCTTCGGCCGGAAGTTCTTTGGGGTGTCAATCAAGGGTCCCAAGGAATCCGCCGTGGAGGAAAGAAAGAGGGAGAGAGGAAAAACCCAGAAAACTTAGTTATTGATGTGCGAACACTCAAATATAAAACCAGGTTTCTAGCCCTTATGGATGTCGAGATATTCACGGAACGGAAGAGGGAAAGCCAAATGGCTCTTCTAGAGCGGTGTTGTGTCGGCTGGCCATCTGTTACGAACTTGGGAGCTTCAAACAGGGTTCATTTTCCAGCCCGACCAGGACATGGCTACGGGGAATTGAACCTGGGATATTCTGCCAAAGGGGATGGGGTCCATCCCCATAAGAACGAAGCAGATCTTCTTAAGGAGAACCTCCTGTGTTTCCACCACTACCTACCAAGAAGCCACTGGTCTACAAGGCCACACTTCCTAAAGATGGGACTCACAGGAATTCCAAAAATAAATAATAATCAGGGTGTTTTCTCCTTGCAAGAAGGATGGCCTTTGGAATCATGGCCAAGCCATAGGTTGGATGCCAAGAATATGTCCCACCCTGTATCTATCTTTTATTTTACTTTATATGATTTCAGCTCTCCCAGAACTGGGACCCAAGACAACGCACAGCAGATTAAACCGTGCCGAGATAAAAATAGATGAGACGGTGTGGATTGAATAGATCTAATCGCTTTAAAAGGTTTTATAAACACCCGAGGGTTAAATACAAAAGGTTATCATGCTATGAACAGTGGAGTTAATGGAACCATAAAAAGGAAACGTTGCTGAATTTAAAACCATTTAAAAGGATGCTGGCTTTCAGAAAAGCACAACACCTATCAGTTCAAGAGCACCTCTCAAGAGCTATCCAGCTACCAGCTGGCACAGAAAGATCCTGCTCACAGCAAGACTGGGTTGAAGCTTAGCCTTTTTTGTTAAGAAGTTTGGGTATTTACAACCTGGCATGCTGCCTCTAGTAGGTGTGAATGCGAGGGGCCTTTCTGGCCCGAGGCAACTGTCAATCTATCCAGCACTAACCAATCATTCCATGCCTAGCTCTGAATTCAAAGAGAGCCCCGCCTCTATGTTCAATGTTTTTTCCCCTCTCTAGAGTCTGTTGCTGAAAGCAGTCATGTTTGTCAGTTTGCTGTTTGATCTGTCCAACTGTAAGTAAATGAAACGTTTTTATCCTTTCTCCTACTCATGTCTCAGAGAGAGTTTTCTCGAATCCTCACGGTGCCTCCTGGGAGAACAGGCAGGCTGCGAAAATTTGGGCCAGCTGCACAGTCCCGAGACGACCCCCACCCACCCCCCAAAGAAAGAAAGGGTAAATCCTTTCTGAGTACCCTCTACCTAGAAGATCCTGGGAAGGTTTGCCGGAGGTCAGAATTGACTTGACAACAATCAATGATTGATTTCAAAACAAAACACTATAACATGTTTTAGGCATGAAAAAAAAGACTGGTAAATAAATTATGGAAAATCCATGTAAATTTCCATGGGAATTCAAAACTTAGTCCTGCCACATATTACTAGCAATTTTGAAATGTAAAAAAAAAAGCAGGTCAGAATCATAGAAAAGCAGCCAGCCGAAGACAGAGAGTTCTCCACGGCCTTTCTCTTTTTACGGTTATTTTTAATTCTTCTTGTGACCTTTGATTAAGACAATAAACTATTCATTCAAACCCGATGGAAGAAAATTGAGGATATCCTGTACAATGATCCACTTAATTCATTCAGGAGAAACCGGCTAATCTGATTTTTGTCCTTAAATTAAAAACAAACAAAGGGATTAAATTAGCCAGAATGCACATTTTGTTCGACGTGTTAATCCTGACGTTACGTATTTGGTTTTGGACGTTAGGTTTCCGAGTCGTGCTCTTACATGTTCGTTGAAACAGAAAGAGAAGGAAACCGTCAGCTTGAAATCTACAAACTTCAGCTGGCTAGTTCTGTTTTCTTACATCCATACAGAGGATCATTTTTGTTAAAAAGGAGCTGATGGTATTTCTTGGCTTTAATTTGCTTTGGAATGTCCAAGGGTGGGCTTATATATCCAAATTAGGTGTCCAGTTTCATAACTACTAAATTAAATATAACCGATCCTAACCCACCTTCTGTCCCAGGTGGCATATTATTGTGCTATTTTAGAATGCATTAACAGAAATCCTGTGAGGTACTGCCATTTATTCAGCAATGGTTAGCCCTCACCTTGAGGACTGTGTCCAGTTCTGGACACCATACTTTAAGAAGGATGCCAACGAAATGGAACAAGTTCAGAGGAGGGCGATAAGGATGGTCAAGGGACTGGAAATCAAGTCCTCGGAGAAAAAACTGAAAAAAAACTGGGCATGTTTAGCCTGGAGAAAAGAAGACTCAGGGAAGATAGAATAGCACTTTTCAAATATTTGAAAAGCAGTCATACAGAGGAGGGCCAGGATCTGTTCTTATTCATTCCAGAGTACAGGACACGTCATAATCAGCCAGATTTCAGCTGAATATCAGGGGGAAAAATTATTAACTGTTAGAGCTGTACAACAACAGAACCCATTATCCTGGGAGGGGGTGAGCGCTCCAACCCCGGAGGCATTCAAGAGAAAATTGGACAACCCTGTGTCCAATTGGCTTTGGCTTGGATTCCTGCATTGAGCAGGGGGTTGGGCTTGATGGCCTTGTAGGCCCCTTCCAATTCCATGATTCTATGATTCGTGGGGTTTGTAGTCCAGAATGGCCTTGTAGGCCCCTTCCAACTCTATGGTTCATGGGGTTTGTAGTCCAGAAAAAAAGTCCAAAATGCACAAACCTTCTCGTAACTCCCACGTGTCAAATCTACTCTGGGTTTTAACCCAAGCTTTCAAGAACTTACTTAATAAGGTGCTAAACCTATTCTGAGGGCAGGATCCAGCCCTTTGGATAATGCTGGGATGAAAACCCGGAGCGGATACACAGATTCCTGTAACGTCACAGGCAAGGAGACGCGCCCATGTTGACCGAGTCTCTTTTTTAAAAAAAAACATCAATGGATATTTCACACAAACGGCTGAATCATATTTTTGGGAAAGAGGGGCCGGCGATGCCTGACAGGCACCAAGCTGCTCGTTTTTTCATCTGTTACTCCATTGAAAAGAAGAAGAAGAAGCTGATTAGCATTCCATGAATGAATTCACATGTCATCACAGCCTCCCCAGTGACTCAGAAATGCAGACAAGACGGGCAGAGAAGCAGCAGCGAAAAGTTTTTCCCGAAAAGGAGAACCGACCGTAGAAATGGTATCTCACAGTTTCATTTGGAAAGAGCCATGCTGAAGTTGGTGGGCCGTGCGAGAGATTAAAAAAACAGTCGGGTGCAGGCAGCCCAGGAGATCTGTAAAGCCCAATATTCTCTATATTGCAAAGATTCAGTCTACTCTAGACCATGGCTGGTTGACCAAAGGGAGCCTTTTCTTCTGCTGTTTTACTTGTGTTTTCAATATTGTTCTTATTACGAGTTTTAACATGGTATCTGTTTCATGATTTTTTTTAAAAAAGTATTGCAATACAATCGAGAATACATCAAGAATACAATATTGCAATGATGTATTTATTCAGCTTTCAAATTTGTTCCTTCTGATCCTGTAAGCTGCCTTAGAACCTTGAGGAGAAACATTTAAAACAAACTAAAATAAAATAAATAAGCTTTTGATTTTACACACACAAACCTAACACACACACCTCCCTTTTGAATCTATAGCCTCTTTTTAATGCAGAGTTTCATTTATTTACAGTATTTATTATTCGATTTCTACCCCGCCCCTCTAGACAGAATCTATTCAGGGTGGCTTACAAAGAAGAATAAAACATTATAAAATACAATCAAATAAAATCATCAAGCATATATAAATCAATCACATAATTAAATCTGTTTGATTAATTTGGAAAATCTCTCTCTCTCTCTCTCTCTCTCACACACACACGCACACGCACACGCACACACACACACACACACACACACACACACACACACACACACACACACACACACCCCTAGGAGACCTGGAACTGCGGTTACCGTTGCTATTTGATTAGGGCTGACATTTCAACCACTGCCAACTGAAACAAACACTCTTCTTACGATGGGAAACCCTCGCCTGAGTATTCCCCCTGCCAGCAAACAGATGGCTGGCAGAGGAGGAGAAGAGGTGGATCAGCCTACAGACGTTTGCCATGAATTTTTTTTTATTTTTTTTTTTAAATCCGAAATGGCCTTCCAGGAAGTCAGAGATGCTCCAGTGGTCCTGGATGAATCGCATCAATTAAGCACATTTATATAGGGTTATCTATTTTTCTAAATTCATTTTGCTTCCATGAGTCATAAAGGAGGGGGAAAGGCGTTATCTTTCTGGACCGTAGGGAGTTGTACTACTTCACCCTTCACCCTATGGAGAAAAAGACAGATAGGTGATCTTTTGCCATCCTAGGGACTAGAAACTTAGATGAGTCCTGTAATGCAAATTGACATTCTGAGAGTGGGAAGGATGGCCCACAAACATCTGGGATACTGATGAGAAGCAGGCAGTTCCCAGGGATGTTTCCCCCCCCAGCAAATTCTTGATACCCACACCCTTTCCAAAACAGAATTTGTTTTTTTTTTTAAGGGAATTGCCCCTTTTGGAAAACATAAAGAATTAGAGATCAAACAACATGGGGAATTAAAAAAACAAAACCCATTTTTTAACAAACTGTAAATGAACTTCTGCCCGGGGTTGTAATTAGTATGAAACAACTGGGGCTTTGTCCCAGAGTACCAAAATTTGGAGGACACTGAAATTTGGAGGTAAATCTGTTGCAGTTTTATTGAATTTCTGGTAAAATTCCTTATTGTTATACAGAGATTCCCAGAGACGACTAGCTACAAGTTCATCAGAATCCACCGCTTTCTCATGAACTGGCACTTAAGGTCCCTCCGAGTCATCTGTAGGTGAAAAAAAAAGTTTCAAACCCTTTCTTTACGTACAGTTGATTGAAATTACAGTATACCGCTTTCTTTAC